CGTGTTTTGATGGGGAAAGAAGAATGGGGCTCAAGAATCCCAATTTTGCACACGTTAAATTCAAGATGGCTCAATCCAAGTGGAGGTGTTAAATAAGCAGCTAAATCAGGTCAGCAGGTCTGGGGTAGATATAATCTGGGAGATTAAAAATATATTATCTACAATTGGAGATGACAGTGTGAAGCCCAAGAAAGTAAAGATAAGACTGTCTAAAAAAAATGCAGAGAGGATAATTAGAAGGCAGTCATAGACAGAACCCTGCCAATAACCAAAAGTGAAAGGGGGGTGTCAAAAGGAGACTAAAGAGGAATAGAGAAGAAGGGGAAGAATCAAGAGTGATGTTGTTAAAACTAAGGGAAAAGAGCTTTAGTGTGTTTCTGCTCTTATCAAAACAAACCCCTAGACTTGTATGATGGATCCCACCTCTTCTGTGTCTCAAGTCCTCTCTCTCTCTGCTGAATCACATCTATTAGCACTTAAACAGGCTCTAGTGACATACCCAATCTTATAGAACAAGCCCATTTCTTCCATCCATCTTTTTAACCACTGTCATATCAAAAAGCTCTAGGTACATGGGTCTCCTTTCAGTTACTTGAACATCCCAAGTTTTTCAGTGCCTTTGCACTTACTTTTTCCTCTGCCTGGCAGGCTTTTCTACACAGTTTTCTGATTAACTTTTTTATTTTTTTAAGTCTTAGCTTAAAAACTATCTTCCCAAAGAGGCCTTCTTTGATCATACTATGTAAAGCAGTTCTTCATCCCTTCCCTTGTGCCACGGGTGCTTGTCTTAAGTCTATTAAGGCTTCTATAACAAAAATGCCATAAACTCAGTGGCTTGTAAGTAACAAACATTTCTTACATTTCTGGAGGCTGGGAAGTCAAAGACTATGGCTCTGGCAGATTGGGTATCTGGTGAGGACCCACTTCCTGATTCACAGAAGGCTTCTTTTCACTGTGTCTTTACATGGTGGAAGGGGCAGGGGATCTCTGTGGGGTCCCTTTTATAAGTGCACTAATCCTATTCATGGGGCTCTACTCTTGGACTTAATTACATCCAAAAGGGCCCACCTCCTACTATCACCTTGGTGGTTAGGATTTCAACATGTGAATTTTGGGGGGGACCAAATATTTAGACCATAGCAGTGCTTTAGGAGGAGGCAAGATAACTAAAGTGTTAAATCAACCTACATTCAGAGACTGCAATATGCTGATCAGCTCTGCAGGCAGGCCAGGAGGACACCTGCAGAACAAAGGAAGATTTCTGCTGGCATTGCTAACAGCCCATTTCCCATATCTGTGAAAAGGGAAACAGGAAAAACAATGTCTTTAAGTGGCTGCCCTACACAAATAAAATTGTTCATTCCCTACAGCTAAAACCATAGGGAACCTATGGATTAAAGGCTGGGAACTATCAGCAAGTCTTTCGTGCTACAGACTCTTCTCCTTCCTCACTATATGCCCATATCGAAGGAAACGGTAAACAGTCTTTATAACTCACAGGAATTAAAGAATGATATATAAACGGGATCCCCCCACACTTGGGGCTTTTTTTCATTGTCTTGGGCTTTTGTCTTTGCTTTCTCTAGTCTTCGCTTTTCCCCTTCTTTAATAAACTTTCCTTTTGACCCTAATTTTGGCTTGTATGTTGAATTCTTTCTACATTCTCTGCCAAAGGACCCTCTTCTCTCATGCAGGGCTTGGTCTCCCCCAACTCGGGAGATGCCTTGTCCTGCATCAATATTACATTGCCCTGCTCTATTTCCTTTACAGCACTTATGATTCTCCAAAAATATTGTTTCATTGTTTACATGAATACTGTGAGTTCCCCTCACTAGGAAAAAAAAAGCTATAAGAAGATATAAAGAAAGGTTAGTTGGGGGAGGAGTGGGAGTTTGAGAGCATAGAGTGGTCATTTCCTCCAAAAATATCACATTTTTAGCAATTTTAAGATAGCATGTTGATAAGAGAATTATTAATAATATGAAAATAACATCTGAGCAAGCAGTCTGAAGTTCAGATTGTTATGCAAGCAAAGAAGTTAGTCAAAGGTTGGCAGCTTTATAAGTGCTTGCTGCCCACCAACCAAAGTTAGGCTCACCATCTCCCTTGCCCTGGCCTCAGGCCAGATAACTCTGATGTAATAACTTGGCTACATCCTTGAGGCAGGACCTCATCTTATACACCACAGTGTCCACAACAGTGTCAAACACATAGTAGGTGTTCAATAATTATTGAATAAATGTTAACAGTAGCAAATGTTGCATGGAGCTTAGATTCAGGCTGAAAACCATCCAATGATTCTGACATGAAGTTCACTGGTAACCTCAGTGGGGGCATTTGCAGTTGAGTTCTGGCAAAATGACCAGAGTACAGGGAAGGAGTAGAAAAAGAGAGGAAGTGAAGCAAGGGAGACTGCTCTTTCTAGATACTTGGTTGCAAAGGAAAGAAAGAACAAGACAGAAATTACGAGATACAAAATGACGAGAGAGAGCTTTGTTTTGTTTTCCAAAGTAGAGAAGACTTTAACTTATTTTTTTACGTCAAGAGACTAGAGCTAGAAATGAAAGAATTGAAGATGTATGAAAGGGAATAGATAACTGATAGTGTGTGGACAAAAGGAGTTAGCTTATATAGGACAAAGAAGTCCCCCTCCTCTGGGATAGTAAAAAGATAAGGATGGGTTGGGGCAGGGGTCAGGAATTAATGAGTATTTTCACATTTCACAAACTTTATCACCTTACCTCTTTAGCTCAATTCCAATTGGTGTAATAATTCAGCCTAATGATGGACCCAAACCTCTCCCTTAACTCCCTAAAAATATAATCAAGGTATTTTAAACAAGATTTTTTTTTGAAGACGTAGGGACAGTAGAAAAGAATGACAAGAAAGAAAAGTAAAAAAGTGTTGTAACTCAAATGTCCAGTCCATTTTGTTCCTGTTCTGCCTTGAGATCATTTTCTCAGATGTCAGAAAAGCATGTCTAATTGCAAAAGTGCTGTTAATATTTCTCAACACATAGAAAAATTTGCTAAAAACCCTATCTGAACTCTTCTGCACTTCCAACCAAGTTTCTGTCCCAATGTCAGTCATTTGTTTTCTTGTCCATCCCTGAAAACCCTTCCTCCCACAGCATACAAAAATCTCTATCCTTTAGCAGGTTCCTCATCAAATAACATTCTGCTCAGCAAAACAAAAGCTAGAAGAATAAATTTCTACAAAACAGAACCCCAGTTATTAGCCAAACTTGACCAAGCATCATACCACCACACCCCAATACAGAATAGGAGGGTTTCTCAATGTTTCTCTGCTGATCTCTACATCAGAGTCTCCTGAGGTCTGGGAGTCAAACCAGAACATTTTTGACTTGTAATTGTTTTACGTATGCTTTAGGTAATTATTATGGAGCAAATGCTTAGTTTGTGGCCACAATATACTTATATCTATATGTGCACATTGCCTTATTAACATTGCAGTTCTGTCTCTTCATATAACTTTCAAACTCTTGATGAAATATAGTATACGGTACCTGTATGTAGATTTTATTTCCCTATAGCTGGTGCCATCTAGTGGACATCATCTCTAAAACAACTTTTAGTCTAGGATTTTTTTATCGACCTGGCAAAGGTCGTGATTCAGATGATGATGGTTAACGTTCATTAAGTGCTTATTATTTATTAGGCATTGTGTTAGATGTGATGTTAATCTATTGAAATTAATTGGCTAATTTAATTTCCAACACTAGGAGGGAACAACCATCCCTATATGGCAGAATATGGAAACTGAGACGAGGAAAGCTTGAGTTGCCTGAGGCCACTTAGGAAGCAAATGGCAGAGCCAAAATTCCAGAGTCCAAACCCTTAATTACTATGCCAAAACAACAAATTAATTTTATTGATGATTCAGTACAATGTGTTTATATATTGGGAGGTGAGTGGATGTTGATGGTCTGATTTAGCACCAGGGAGATGGTTTAAGAAGATTAAGTACTAACAGGTTCCAAGGAAGCCTCTTTTGGGGCATTAAGAAGGGCCAAAGAAATGCCCTGCACTGGACATTGAACAGGCAAGATTCATTCTGAATTCCTCTGGTGCCCTATACAAGGATGCAAGTGGACTATACCATTGTTTTTATTGCCTTCCATTGAAGTATTCACAATAAATGGGATAGCTAAAGTTAGATTAACACCAACACTCTTCCTCCCCCTATATTAAATTAGAAAGCTCAGACTCTACCCTGACAATTTGGAGTCTTTATTCCTGACAAAGTAAGTAAAAACCATTCTCTATCCTCTCAGTGAGAAGCTCAATGAACTCAAGTGCCCACCTTTTCTCTGTTGAGTTGATCTCATAGCTTGTCTTCACAGTGCTGTTAAGGATTTTCTGTGTAACTCAGGAAAATTAAGTCATTCCCAGATGTATTAGCTCCGACTGCCATAACAAAATACCATAGACTGGGCGATTTAAACAACAGAAATTAATTTTCTCATAGTTTTGGAAGCTAGAAGTCTGAGATTTGGAGGTCAGGTTTTTGTGAAAGCTCTCTACGAGAAGGCAGCCAGGAAGAGAACTTATCAGAACTGTACCTGGGTACATGTGCAGGAAGAGAGAACACATAATTTCTCTGGTGTCCTTTCTCATGAGTACTGATCCTATCATGAGGATCCCACCCTCATGACCTCATCTAATCCTAATTACTTCCCAAAGGTCGCATCTCCAAATACCATCACATTGGGGATTAGGGCTGCAACATGTGAAGTTTGGGGGAGGACATTCAGTCCCTAAAAGCAGATTCTGTTTAATTTATTTTGTTTATATTTATTCTTATTGCAAATGAGTCTGTCTAGAATTTTTCCAACTTTTTATTATATAGTATTTTAAACACCAGAAAAGTTGTAAGAAGGGGACAATAGTACACCATCACCTGGATTCATTAGATGCCATATTTGCTTTATCTATATGTCTGTATGCCTAATATTTAGCTATATATTTTTTTGTTCAAAGCATCCTTCTCATAAAGATAGCGCCAAAAGTGAAGAAGGAAGCCTTGGCCCCTCCCAAATCCAAAGCCAAAGCTTTGACAGCAAAGAAAGCAATGCTGAAAGGTGTCGTCCTAGAGCCAAAAAAAAAGAAGATACGCATATCACTCACCTTCTGATGGCCCAAGACATTGCGGATCCGAAGGCAACCCAAAAATCCTCATAAGAGCACCCCTCAGAGATAAGCTTGACCACTATGCCATCATCAGGTTCCCCCGACTACCAAGTCAGCCATGAAGAAGACAGAAGACAACAATATGCTTACGTTCATTGTGGATGTCAAGGCCAATGAGCACCAGGTCAAATAGGCTGTGAAGAAGCTCTAGGACACTGACATAGCCAAAGTCAGTACTCCGATCAGGCCTGATGAAGATGGCCTGTGTTCAATATGGCTCCCAACTATGAAGCTTTGAATGTTGCCAACAAAATTGGGATCATCTAAACTGAATCCAGCTAGTTAATTCTGAATATAAAAATTTTTTACTGTGTAAAAAAAACTTCTATTATCTTCATAATATTCTACCCCTATGTCAGCATGCATCTCCTAACTGAAATATCATTATTACACTTAAGAAAATATTCTATTTTATTGTCTTCTAGACAATCTATATTATAATGTCCCCAACGTCTTTTAGAACTGTTTTCCCTGAATTTTGACCCAACGAAGCTTCAAGTGCTGCATTTAGTTGTTATAGCTCTTTAGTCTTATTGATCTAGAAAAGTCCTCCTACCTTTTTTCTCCAATGACATTGATTTTTTGTGGTAATGGCATTGTGACTCTATTATCTCTTAGAGATTTATAAAGAAATATTTACCAATGAAATGGGGGAAATGTTATTATGAAAATATAGTGTGTAATTAATTAGCCTCAGACTTAATTTAAACTTATCTAAGTAGACTCAGGTCAACTGCAGGTTAACCTATTGTTACATGGTGATTATACAGAAAAAGTTTGTAATTCTATAATTCTGCCTAAATTTACCATAGTTTTAAACTTATGTTCATTTCTAATTCAGCTCATTAAAATATGTGGATTTTTTTGCCAATAATATTTAAAATTTTTTTAAATTACAGTTAGCCTACAATATTACATTAGTTTCAAGTGAGCAACACAGTGATTAGGGTAGAAAAAAATTTTAAATCTAACTAAAAAAAAATCTCAATGTAGAAAAAATACAAAAATAAAATTGCAAGGATCACTCAAAATCAGTCTATCCATAAATAACTATTATTAAATTAATGCCAGGTGAACACTAAGGGGGAGCAGAATTTGCCACCCCAAAATATGCCTTTTGGGATATTATTTCAAGCTGGTGATTTTTAAGAAAAGACTCAGAAAAAACTAAAGACCATCCCCCTAATTTCCTAAAAGAATTTAGAAGACCTGTTCCAGGAAGAGAGATATCATCATAGATAACTACAGTTTAATATGAACTAGTGTGTGATAGACAGGGAGGAACCCAGCAAGACCCATTTGAGCCAAGTCCTCTCAGTGTCCCATTGTTAAAGATGGTTCAACAAACATTTACCAAACATTTGCTTTCCATTTCCATGTGAATTGCCTTCCTTCCCACTAAAGTCCCAAACCACAAACTCCTCCCTCTCTCCTTAGCTCAAGATAGCACATAAGCCTTAACTATCCCATCTGTCCTTCAGTCTCCTACTCTCATGAAATCTCCTTATGAACATCCATAACAAATCTGGTCTTTTTCTCTTGTTAATCTGTTTCATGTTAATTTATTAGTCCAGCCAGAACTTAATAGAAGAAAAATTATTTTTCCACCTCCACAACAGTATGTCCAACTTTTTCTTCTGTACAGCTACATAGGTAGACAGGTAGCAAAACTTTCATAAAAATCATATGGAACTCTATATTCAATGCAAAGCCTGTGTGCCGATGCCTTGTCCTGCTTCTGCTCTATAAGTACTGCAAGGGGGTTTGATCCCTGTAGACTGCATTTCCCTGGCTCCTGTGTTAGCTGACATCTGGGGTCAATTAATGGGATACTGGAAGGCACAAGAGGGAAAATCCAGGGGTATATTCTTCACAACAGTTGTGTTTTTTTCTGTCTCCCACCCTCTTTCAGGTAATAGTGCTTTCTTACTTTGTTTCTTCAGCCTAAGGGCTCAGTGGCTTCTGATTCTTAACACTAATCACAGGTTACCTCATTGTCATATTTGGCTTCTTAGCTCTTCCATTACCTATGTAACTAATTTCCTGTGAGGCAGGACAGGTAGCCTTGGGGTGTACTCTTCTCCTTCAGGATGTGGCTCCAGGCTACTTTCAGCTCCTTGCCTCTTTCAGTCCTAGCAAGGGGAAACAAACCAAAACCAGTCCTACGCAGTCTTGCTGCCACCTTTGACCCGACTTTTGTTTGGCTAATTATAATATCATTATAATCTCATCTGCATAGCAGTCCCCACAGCTCCGATCATGCATGTGATGCCATGACAGTTCCAGACACACCAAATAAAGAAGAAAGAATGGGAAACCGAGCTCACTGAGACCATTGGGAGGCAACAGTGAGATTATGTGAGTACCAGGTCTCCATGCTCTGCCCCCAAGAAGAAAAGCCAATAATCTGGACATTCTCAGTGCAACTCACTGAACTCTTAAGTGTGTACTTTGACTTCGATAAAACTTGTGCTTCTCTGCTTGATATTTACCTTATCTGTGAATTCTTTCTTGAGATATAAGAGCATGGTCATTGGAGCTCTGGGTTGAGTTCTCTCTTGGACGTCCCCATTGAGCTCTCTGGCATCATCTGCATTAAATTCCCTCACTGAAAATAATTGAAGCAGTTTCTAGTCAGATCCTGACTGCTCTACAATAGATGCTATTTTAATTGAAATATTCTAATTGTAATTAATTTTACTTGAATTTGATACAATGAAAGAATAAGAGGTAGAAAATTTTTTTAACATGAGGGATATTACTTTCAAAGAGCTCTTTCTAGGTTAAGAAATTATGAAAACTTCTCAGAAACTGGTTACTCTTAGTATTTTTATTTTAGACAGTAAAGGTAGATGATTCATGAAAAATTAGTACTCATGCTCCCTTTCTCTCCCTTCCCCCCGCCTCCTCTTACCCCTCTCTTTCTCTATCCTTCTACTTTCCTTCCCTATCTCTGTCCCTGTCCCTCTTCTTTCTTTCAGTTCCCTAATAGTAAAGAGAAATGCTGCTATCAGTGACTTCCAGACCTGGGATTTTGACTTCTGATATAACAAGAACAAAAAGAAGCCAAATGTGTCATTGTCTCAGCAGAAGACACCACTTAGTCCAAGCAATGGTTCCCCTAACAGTAGCAGTGTGAGCAATGGAAATGACCAGCTGAGCAAAACTAACTTCTACATCCAGGGATTGCAACCAGGCACTATTCAACAGGACGATGTCAAATTGTGTCAGTCATATGGCAAGACTGTCTCCATTATGGCTATACTGGACAAGACCACAAACAAATGCAAAGGCTATGGCTCTGTGAACTATGACAGTACTTCAGCCATAAAGAAAGCTATAACAGAACTGAAAGCCAGTGATGTACTGATACAGATGGCACAACAACAGGAGGAACCCACAAATTTATACATATCAAACCTCCCACTGTCAATGGATGAGCAAGAACTGGAAGGAATACTGAAGCCCTTTGGCCAGGTTATCTCCACTTGAATCCTTGGAGACACTAGCAGGATCAGCAAAGGGGTTGGCTTTGCAAGGATGGAGTCCATAAAAAAGTGTGAAGCCATCATCACCCACTTTAATGAAAAATATGTTAAGACACTCCCTGGAGTACCAGCCTCAACATTTTGCTGCTTTGCAAATTTGCTGATGGTGGTCCAAAGAAATGACAGAATCAAGAAAAACTTATGCAAAATGGATGGGCCTGGCTAAGGATTGGAGATATAGATGGTATGGTATTGACCTATGACCTCACTATAGCTCTTCTGAATGGGTTTTACCCAGCTCCTTAAAACATCATCCCCAACAGGATGCTTGCTCAGTTTACACTGTCCCTGTATCTTCCATCTTCGTGTCTTCATATCAGAAGTAACTTCGTGTCTTCATATCAGAAGTAACTCAGACATTTCCTCAAGTATCTAACCCATCTTGGATGTAACACTAGTCATATCTCATGCAGCCTTCAGGTTCAGTTCTGACCCTAGGGATGAATCACCCCATTGCTCTCTAGCCTGCCTTCATGATGGGAGCTCTTACCCACCAACTGGGCCACCTCTCTCTGAGCACCTGGGCACATATATGCCAATATCTGCAGCTATGTAAGCAGCTTACATCTCCCAGTACACCCTGCGCCTTTTCCCAATGTTTCAATTGAGAGCAGCAGCCAGGAAAACCAAGTGATGGTACATGCTCCCTCAGACCATGGGGTTTATTCTTTCCAGTTCAACAAGTAACAATCGATTTCCCTCCCCATCTTGGTTGAATACAAATGAATTCTTAGAGATGCTGATGCTCCCAGACTCCAGAGGGCTAACCAGGTATACAGACCATCTGTGGGTCCTGCTAAGAACACCTGGCCATCATTTTTCACAGGCCTGGGCCTGGAAAAGAAATCTCTGCACTCTTGCTCTCCTTCTCCATTCCTGATGGAGCCTGGGGGAACTGTCACTTCTTGTGTGCTAGAGTCAAGGAGATTAAACAAACTTTTTTCTTTCTTTTGCAAAGAAAGTTTTATGTTTTGTTTTTAACTATCATATGCGTTCCCTACCTTCCATTCCAAAAAAAAAAAAAAAAAAATTAGTACTCGCAGGCTTTCTGTTCTCTCTCCACAATTTTTCAGTTACACTGTATTTATTTTGTTCAGGTTTAAAACACTCGCATTCTCTTCTATAACCTTAATTTCCATAGTTGCTTAGTATTAGTAAAATTAAATATTTAAACCATTTTTTTACTAGAATGTAAATTTCACATAGGCAAGGTAAGGTGGATTATTTGCTTTGTTCACGGATATATTAAAAATGACCAGAAAATTGTCTGCTACTAATAAATATTTGTTGAATAAATTATTCACCAGAGTTAATCACTCTTAGTTTTAAATTTTCTCTTCTAGTTGGCTGGGTTTCATTGTTGAATATGTGCACATGTATAAACAAACACACACATAGGGTTTTTTCTCACTTTTCTTGAGTTCAGACATGCTATGCTGCTTGAGTTCCTTCATGTTTGAAGACATGGGCCATTGTCTTCTGGCATTAGATATTCTTTGTTCATTTTATCGAGTGAACTTGAACATTGGTGTAATAAATTATCACTAAATCTTTATAATCCTAGTGGTCAGTGCCCTCCTAGTATAATTATTTTTTATTGTTAAGTTTTATCCAGTCATTTGCCAAATTCATTTGTATGTAAAAGTTTTAAATGTTTTTTTTTTTTTTGACAGGGCCATATTATCTCTGATGATGTTCTTTAGTAAGTCAACATGTATTTTGTGAGCACCTTCTGCTAAATACTGTGTATTATACAAATATGGATGGCCAATGGACCCTATCTTCAAGGAGCCTATCTTGTAGGGTGGAAAAATAAGCATGTTGCTACAATATGAAGTAGAGAGTGATGATGTCTTTTAAAAAAAAGTGTCTGGATGTTCTGAAGGGGCAGTAATTACCAAGAAGAATGAAAGAAATGAACATTTATTAAAAGTCTATTACTTGGCAAGCAATAAATGGTCTTCACAGATGTTATCTCCTTTGATCTTCAGGACAGTTCTGTAAGCAAAGTTATGATTATCCCCATTTTATCCATACAGAATTAAGCTTAAGTAATTGACGAATTATCACGCAGGAAGAGTTGACATTTGAACCCAGTTCTCCATGATTCCAAAGCTCATGCTCTTTCTTCACTATATATATTATCTGTTCCAAGAATGAGTCAGAGAAGGCTTGATGGAGAAAGTGGCAGATGAGCAGGTGTCTTCATAGGTAGGTAGGTATTAAGGTAGTAGTAGGAATTGGAAATCTATGCCCAGTATTTTCCTAAACTGAGGGAATTGTGAGTATTAAATCCATTGTCAAGAAATTGTTTCTATTCATTTGGAGACCCAATTCTCAGTAGGCAGCTATTACCAATTACAGGAAAGAAACTCCAAGTAGCCTTGTTCTTGAGTTTCTTGCCATTCTTTGGTCTTGGGTATCTATCTTCTTCCTCATCACCTCTCTGCATAGTTTAAACAAGGATTAAGTCTTCCTGATGCTAAGATTCATCCTTCCTCTCAGACATTTCTAAAATAGAATAAGCTCTTCAAAACACTATAAGACAGCAGTCCCTAGCCTTTTTGGCACCAGGGACCTATGAGAACCTAATGCCTGATGATCGGAGGTGGAACTGAGGCGGTGATGCTCGTGCTGCAGAGCGCTGCAAATACAGATGAAGCTTTGCTTCCTGGCCCTCCGCTCAACTCCTGCTGTGCAGCCCAGTTCCTAACAGGACCTTACTGGTCCACAGCCTGGGGATGGGGACCCCTACCATAAGAGATATAAAAGCAGGTTTTCAAACTAAAATTTCAAACCATTAGTGCACTTTGACATTCTAGTGAGTCATAACCAGCATTTTTTTTTGAAAGGGACAGAATAGACTAGAAACAGCAGAGTATCATATGTGGGAAGGGTAAATACAGTTTCATGACACTTATATGCATGTATATGCATGTGAGTTTGTGTTTATGCACTGTGCTATGATGTAAAATATATTTCTGATAATGAGAAATATTTAAATTGTAACAGGGCCTGTTTACAAACCAAATATAGCAGGGAAGCCTGAAAGCCCCCTTCCAACTGGCATGGAATGGCAGCTGGGGTTATGGTCAGTGAGCCCTTGGAACAAAAGCTTTCTCAAGTCTAAAAAACAGTATCACAGACTACTTGCTTACAAACATGGCACAGCTACAGAGCAGTTTAATATCCTACACATTCTTTCAGGAGTGAGCCGAATAGAAATGTAGAGAGAAAAAAATTAGGCAATTATCTCCTAGAGAAGGGCTTATAGAGAAGAGCAGGCCTATCTGGCTCAAAGGATACCTACCTATTGCAAAATTTTCCTTCTCAGAAAAGGAAGGCTGCAGGGCCTCTCTAGATCAAAGGACTCCTACCCAAATGGGTATGTATACTGCCAGCTTCAAAAAATAAGACTGGCGAGATGCCTTCAATCAGCAATGTTCAGTCCCAAAGGTAGGTACTATTACTATCCCCATTTTATAAATGAAAGAAGTCAGTCACAAAGATTAGGTAATCTGCCTAAAGTCTCAGAGTTGGTAACTGGCAGGGCTGGGCTTGGAACCCAGTGCATATATCTAACTACTATATTGTACTGGCTTTCCCTCCATTCTACGTATCCAACTTGTTAATGTCTATGGAGACTATCCTGGCCAGTTCTTATTAAATTCTTCTTAAGTTCATTCATACTTGCGGGCATTTTGGCCATTATAGGGGTCTCTGGCATCTTAGTCAATTATTCTAATGATATTACATGTAATGGTAATAATTTACCTTTTCCCCTCAAATTTAAGATTTTCTCATTGTTTTCAAATGTCTTGCTGAATTATGTTGTTTATATGAATAGATCATGCTAAGTTTTGTTTAATTGCTTTTTCTTAACTATTACTCTGAAATCTTTCTTTTCAAGGTTCTCTACAATCCTATCTTATTTTTCAGTGCTTCCAAACATGGATCAAACTTTAACTCAAACTGATCATTGTCCTCTGAAGAAGCTGTAACAATTCTCACATCTGAGCTGTTGCTCTTTCCTGTTTGGTATGCCTCTTTCATTGCTTTCCTCGTATCTAAATCATATCTGTCCATCAAGGCTCGACTTAAATCCTTTCACAAAGCCTACCTAAATATCCTCAGCCCTACTGCTCATTTTTTCTCTGAATGTAGGTAGACTGCATTCCCTCAAAACACACAGAATTTAATGACATGTGTTTTTAATCACTTCTGTAAATGCTAGTCTGTATGGTCCTTAAGGCCTTAGGGATCATTATTCATACAATTCTTATTTTCTGCAGTCTTATGCACTATAGTGTGATACAACTGAAAGAGCATTAGAGAGATGAAGGTTATCGTCCTGACCTTGTATTGAGGAATCTCTAACAAGCTCTTGGAGAAACAATGTCTGTGCTACCCATCCTATTTTTCTCATAGCATAAACAGTGCTATGTAAATGAAAGGCTACCAACACATCTTGAAGAACATTGGCTTATAATTCATAGGCTAGCAGACGGTCTGTCACTAAAATGAAAATATGCACCCAGCGCTTCAGATCATCTATTACAATGACATTTCATTTTTATAAACCTTAGGACGGTACCATGCTATAAAATAAATGTGAATATTGACTTTCAGTAAAGAAACTGTGACATTACAGCACACAGGGCTCTCCAACAATAGATACCAGAATGCAGTAATAAAATATAACTCTATGTATAGTTTCATTTATCAATTTAGGTAAAGAGATTAATTTGTCACACTGCTACTGCACTGCTAAAGTGAAGCAACTACAGTCAAGGGATAAATGAATATAGAGCACAGATGCTAAAGCAATGCATGGAAACAACAGATGTTATATCAAATAATTCAATAAATGTTTTACATTTTAACGACAGGAAGCCTAAAATAAGTGGTTTTGCTCAGTAATTTTCATAACTTGATGTACCATAAAATGCTGACGAAACTTCTGACTTACAGATTAAATTATGTAAAATACAGTTTGAAGGTTCTTTCTTATTTTAATTCTTTAAATATCAGCATTGGCAGACACCAATATTATTATTATTTGGAACAGAGATTTGTATCAATTTGAAATATGGCCAGTAGGCTAAATATGAGGATAGAAAAAAATTGAAAGAGTACTTTCTAGGTGAAAACTACCTTCTTTTATACCCCAAACTGGTGAAAAATGCCCGATCATATCAGCACTGCATTTAGAGAAATAGGGAGGTATGGGAGAAAGGTTAAACTTCCCTCAACCTCTGAAACAAAAAATAAGCCAAATAACTGACAACATCTTGAAAACCACTTAATAATACAGAAATTTACATTTTTACAAAAGCAAGGGTAACTTTGATTCACAATTGTCCTTAGCCGTGAATGTACTTGAAAACTTGTTTATAAAGCTGCAGATATAGTGGGAGTGTTTTTAAAAGATCCCAGTAAAACACTCACCAAATAACATAGAACACTTATAGTACTGATCATCATATTATTATTCAAAGATGTTACATTATGACTATAGAGATATAGCACATTTCTACACATACTTTATTTGGAATTCAGTAACACAAAAACATTTCTGTGAGAGGTCAATATAATCTCTTATTGATCTAAGAATTCTGGCACTGAAAGCGTGAATAACCCAAGGTAATGATGTCGTCACCAAGGGACGACAAGAATAGAACCCAAATCCCTTGACTCCCCAGCTTGTGTTTTCCACTAATTGTGCTCCTTTCTACTCATCCGAGGACACCAAGTGTAAAGGGTTGGAGAGGGAGTGGACACAAATGTACCAAATCCGCGAGGTGGAGACTGCATTGAAGGTCCTCAGGAATCACTCTTTGGCACTTTCCTTTGTTTTGGCAGAGAAAGATGAAAGCAGCAGCAACCACAAACCCCTGGGACCAAGAACTGGAACTAGGTACTGCCTGTTGTGGTTACTCTTTCTTCTTCATTTTTGACCTTTCCTTTTTAACCTCTCCCTTCTGGGCAGCCCTAACACCCTCTACATCTCACTTCGCGTCTATCCTCCACTCTGCACTTTATTGCTGGGTTATCCCCTAATAACGGGCGGCTGCATTCCACTCGCCTTCCACCTGACCCTGCGCCCAGTCCTTATGAGACGTGTTCTGGGGGTTTCTAAAGGCACAAGCGTTTTTGCTAGAAAATGAGTGCTAGTCAAGCACTGTTAAGTGTTGCAACGGTTAGAAACTTAAGAGGTGGGAACACGGGCATATATATACCAAGTCTGTTGGGCGACAAAGCGACAGTTAGACAATAAGCATGGAGCCCTTCTCTCTTGTAGGGAGCTTCACACAGCTCAGTCATCCCCTGGGCAACGTCCCCACTGCAGGACGCCTTCCGGAGCGCGCGTGTTTACAGTTTTCCTGGACCGGGGGGAGGAGACAGTCGCTCGCAGACCTGGGGGATTCCAAACCGTTACTCCGCCCGCCGGGGTGGGACCCGCCCAACGACCGAGCCTGCGCAGTGGGCCTGGCTGGCTTCAGAGCTCCGGTGCACTACAAGTCCCACAAGGCAACGCCCTACGAGGGCGGGCGTCCGCCTTACCTGCTGGGAGCTTATTCCTTCGGCTACTACCGCTCTCCCCCTCCCCGGTTCCCGTCGGTCTTCTTTCCAGTTAAAGGCTACTTTCTCTTGAAGCACGTGAGTGGAAGCCGTAGCAACCTCAACACCGAAGCTCTTCGCGTACTCGCTGTTTCTCCCTCGGCTGGAACTATGCCTGACTCCGTCACGGGAGTTGGGTAGTGTACGCGAAAAAAGGAAGCCCTTGGAGGCCAAAGCCGGGGCAATCTGGTCGCATTTCCGCCTCCCGGGCTCTAGAAGGTAGCGCGCACGCGCTCCCTGCGACTCCGGCGCAGTTGACTTCCGCTCCCACTGTGCTCTGCGAGCCGAATCATGGATCACACTGGTAAGGAGGCGGAGGCAGTGGGGGTCCGGGTTCCATGGCCCCTTGGCCGGCCCGGGTATTTTCGCCTAGCAGGCATAGAGAGGTTACGCTTGCCCTACAGCATTGGGGTGTGACGGTTAGAAGGAAATCTCACAGATCCCTCCTTGTGCCCGGCAAGGGCCTACTGCTTCCCGGCCTACTCTCCGGTGTGGTACCTACAGCCTCGGTGCCGGCAGCAGCCACTTCTTTGGTTCTGCTGAGTTCAGAGCTGGGACAGCGGGCGGCGCGGACCTTGTTTGGGAGGAGAGAGCGCCGGCTCTTTTAAAACTCATCCCGGGCGCTCTACCCTACATTACGGGAACTGGCGGGTAGATTACAGTCTCAGAGTCGGGGCAGCCTTATTACGCTGGCAGTCGGTGCGCGAGAGTGGGTTGGAGACTTCCTGCTGTCTCAGCTTTGGGCGGGTGCTGCGGTGGTCACCGCCTGTCGTTATTGTCTCTCCGGTCCTTCATGGACTGGAGATGGGAGGAGAGAATCGGATATGGTTTCGGAATGATACTCGGAGCAGCTTTTCTACCTAAACCCAGAGCATACCCCGCGCTTCACCTGTGGTCCTTCCTTATCCTTTGGGAACATTTATAAAGGGGAACTTAAAATCAAGATTATTCACATTCCTTTTTATAAGTAGGAATGGCTCTATTCTTACGTGTTTTTTGGCTTTTTGTTTCCTTGTGGTTTTTTGGATATTTACATGAGGGTACTTGGGGTTCGAAAGTGCTCCGTACAGTTGCACGAACCATATCACAAGTAGGGAAAAAGGTTTTCCCCTGTATTAAGTATTGGTTGAGATGTTCTCAATCATCAAATATCTACTTTTGATATACAAATATGTGTGCAGACACACACAGACCCGATATCTGTAGGCCTAGGGATGGCATGATGGAATGGTAAACAGGACGGACTGAGTTACTGTCGTAGAGGTTACATTCTGTTGGGGAAGACAATACATTTTTTAAAAGCCCAGATGTTGACAGATTATAAGTTCTTTGAAGACAATAAATAGATGCTGTGGTAAAGACAATAAGGACGGTTCAAAGACGGTGGTCAGGGAAAGTCTTTCTGGAAAAGTAACATTTATATAACTTGGAGATCTGATGGATGAGAATAATCGAGCTACGGAAAAAATCATGAGGAATACATTTCTAGCAAGTACAAAGACTGAAGTAGAAAACAATAGAGGAGATCAGTTGGCGGCAGCTTTGTTTTTTTTTTTAAGATGAGACTGAAAAAGAAAGCAGGAGTCAGGTCGTGCAAGACTTTGAAGGCCAAGTTAATGATTTGAATTTTATGTGCAACGTGAAGTCGTTGAACAGAAGTAGAGGAAGAACATAATTTTTAAAAAATCTATAATAGGTTCCATTGAGAATGGTGCAAGAGAGGGAGGCAAGAATAATAGAAAACAAACAATCTAGGAGGTGATTGCATTAAACCAGAAGGGAGACTTGACTTAATGAAGGTATCTTGGTTTAGTGAAGTTGAGAGTAGGCAGATTCAATAAGTATTTTTATAGTAGAACTTAAACATGTACTGATGGATCGGTTTAGAGGTATGTTAGAGGAAAGAGAGATGTCTAGGTTTCTGGTTTGAGCAGCTAGGTAGTGACCATTACTGAATTGGGGAAAATGTGGGAGAAAAAACAGACTTTTTAAAAGGAGTAGAGGTGATTGGTGGGAGTTTGGGAACAAGATTTTGGACTGCTACCTATGGGATGTATTTTGAGACATGCAAGGGGAGATGTCAGGTGGAGATCAGAGGAAAGATCTGGGCTGAAAAACACATATTTGGGACTTAGTAATGCATAGCTGATATTTTAAGGCATAAGATGGACTAGATCACTTAAGGAAAGGGAATACAGAAGAGAAGAGGGCCTACCTGGAACCAGGCTCTTAAAGGAACTCTAGTGTTTGGAAATTTTATAGAATTGAAACTCTAGGATCTTAATGTTAGAGCAACAGACACCCAACATAGACACCCAAAATCAGCAAAATATTTCTCATTTGAGTGTATTACTGGAAATGGGAGTCAAGCCACATCCGGTTTAGAGAATGTTGTGTTAGGAAACTGTAATATGGTGGGTGTGTACTTGAGTATTTACTATAGTAGTTCTCTTAAGTTAAAAAGTTGCCCAGGAAAGTAAAAGTCATCTTAACATGAAAATTTTCATTAATGAGCTGACCACTT